CCCCCCCCCCCCCCCCCCCAACGGAGGGAAAAATAATTTCACAACAAAAAATTGGAAAGCTCATGGGAGAAGCGATGAGATATAATAAGGGGGCCCAGAAATCGGGCTCTAAACGCACTGCCGTGTTGAGTACAATCCACTTTGACCACGTTGACAGCCAAATCATCAGGAATGAGGCCATTGAGCTTGTCCCAAGTCGGCGCCAACTGCTTGCAGTGACCGCACCAGGGCGCTGTCGCGGAGGGTGACACGAACAGGACGATGCAGATGAGAGAAGCATGCCTCGATTCAGGCAATGGCAAGCACCAAATCTGCCAAAACCCACCATAAAACTTGACAAAGAGCGCTGTCTGCTGGCGCAGCGTCTCAAATTCCTCGGCATTGACTTGCTAGGAGCAGAGAACAAGTTGTGCCCACAATCAAGTCTCAGGTCAGTGACGTGGCGTGGCGCGCCGCGCTCGAGCCCGAGACAAAACCGCAGCTATGTTGGGTACCATGCGCATTGGCACTGACCTGCGCAACCGCCTCCTCCGCGTTGACCGCCCGCAGCGACGTCAAGGCCACGAGGGCCACGAGAGCGAGGCTCCAGCCCGCCGCCGATTGAAGCAACATGATGAGCGGTGGTCAACTAATGCTGGCCGCAATCCTAACCCAATGACAATGCTGCTTTGTGAATTTCAACACCTGATCAACTGGCCCATCACCCCAAGGACCCTGTCTTCACCACATCAATTCAGACAGCCAAGTGCCATTGCATTTGCCGCTCCATGCCGCCGCCGCCCCTCGCATGCACCCTCCAACGACAGCAGTCCCTTGCTTACCGTTACCGTTGCGATAAAAATTGCCCACTGTCTAATTCCACGTTTTGTGTGTGTGTGTGTGTGTGTGTGTGTGTGTGTGTGTGTGTGTGTGTGTGTGTGTGTGTGTGTGTGTGTGTGTCTGTATCTGTATCTGTATCTCTCTCTCTCTCTCTCTCTCTCTCTCTCTCGCTTGCCAATGTCAGATAAAATATTATCTGACATTGAGTGCCGCACCGAACAGGCTGACATGCTGATATTTTCCAAGCACTTGCGCAAGCGTCATGAGATGATGGGTGTGCCAGGCAGTCGGAAGATCCTGATGGTGCCCATCCCCTCCCCCCTGATCCTCGCATTTTCCAGCTGAATCTTGATTCGTTTCTTGCCACGGAGCAGCGTCATGACAGTCAAATCGCCTTGGCAGCAAGCTTGGTTTTGGCCTGCCCGTTGCTTCCGGGTTGTGGTGTTTGCACTTGTCTTGTTGGTGACGATTCATGTCAGCCCGGTCGACGCGCTGTGCACGCCTGCAGCTGTGGGATGCGTCTGCCAAACGCCGCAGATGACATGCAGCGCCTATCAGAACCTGGAAGCGCGCATCTTCAACATGTCACAGATGGAATTTGGTGACAAGCGCATCGCCAGTGGGCCACTCAAGCTTCTTTTTCATGATGCGGCCGAGCATGATCAACACGCGGAGGACCCGCTGGGCGTGGACGGCTGCCTCAATTGGGAGGATCCCATGAACGCGGAAATGGTCGACACCTACCAGGATGAAGATATCTTTGCCCTTGTTGACGACCTTTGGCTCAGCTACTGTTCTGAAATCTCCCGCGCCGACTTTATCGTCATGCTCGCGGCAGCTACCCTCCGCGCCTATGCAGGCGATATTCTCTATAATTACAAGTTCCCCTTTGCCCCCTATCTGGGGCGGACGGACCGCGTCACTTGCACCTATCGTGACTATGACCGCCTCGGCCTCTCGCGCCTGCCACGCCTCTCTCTTAATGTTTCGCAGTCGGAAGTCGACCGCGTCCTCGTCGAACAAATGGGCTTGGCACCAGACCACGCTGCCACGCTCATGCAAGCACATGTGCTGGCCATTTACAAAACACCCACCAACGCCATGTATGCCACCGTTGGCCAGGAAGGCATTTGGACCGACGGGCACATGCTTCGTCTCTTGACATCCACCTTCACACGTGTGTCTGCTTATGGGCAAATTTACCCCTTGGTGTACAACCTTCCTGACGATTACATCATGCGTTACGTCTGGCGCGCTGACGTGTCGCCCGCCGTTCTCGCGGCCGGCTATTATAGCCCTACCTTTTTCCTCAACCATGACATGCATCCCATCTTTCCAAACGTTTGGAACATCCACGAGGAAGGCGTTACCTGCGGTCCTCTGTTTGAGCTGACCAGCAAAGGTTCGTCCCGCTAGAGCAAAGCTGCACCCCCTTACCCGTGTGATGGCTCTCGCATGCCTTTCTTGAGACCAAACCAGGCTGCTCTCACCTCTGTGGGTCGTTGCCAACACAGGCACATTGCAGGCGCTACCCCGAAACGCGTCCAGTTCTTGCGAGGTGGACGAGGAACAGGTGCAGCGTCTCATCGAATACGTCTCCCTTCCCGGTCTGTTTTGGCAAAATTTCAGCCAAGCCATCACAGCTCTCAGCTTGGTGGGTGTCAATCAATCAGAGCTTTTCTGCCCTTGTGGTGGATGCAACCGCTCCTTCACCACCAACATCCAGAACTTGGCCAGCAGTAGAAATGAGGCAGTCCGACAAAAACCGTTTTCAGCCATCATCCTTGTTCTCGTGGCCATGGCCATCGCGCTGCTGCTTGAGCAGGAGCATCAATAGCACATCGTGCGCATTATCGATTGGATAAAGCTTGGCACGTGTGGATAAAATTTAATGTATGATATTTGCAGGAATGCAGTCGAAGCCTTTCTCCTCCTTCAACTTTTGCTCTTGGGCGGCAAACCTTGGGTCTAGTCAATATCTGAGGCAGTGGCAAGCTTCTGCAGAGTGTGCAGCGCAAAGGGGCGGTAGCGTAGGGTTCGTAAGAGACTCTGCTCAAAGTAGAGTTGGCGTTCGAGGTCCCCGGGATGGAGCTCATTCATCTCCAAAATGGTCCTGCAGCCCCGACAAGACATAAAGGGAGTTGGCACGCAATGAATGTAGCAAACCTATCACACTGGAAGAGCACGAGTCTCAAGTTTAAGCGGAAAGGTCGAATCACACACCATGTGTCCCCTTGCGGTTGGCGGCCCACACGAGCGTAAAGTTCTTCGAGTCGCGTGTGAATCCGGTTCAAGTACTTGGGTAGAAACGCGCAAAACAAAAGTCAACGAATGATGTTGAAACCCCGTGGTTACAAATGACCACAATTCTTACGGGTTGCTGCAGACTTACTTGGAGCTCAGCATTGGGCACAACATCGAGGCCTGGAACACTCACACCCAGTTCACGGTGGCGCTCTTTCCGGGCCATGAGCTTCAAGTGTCGGGCTGTCGACTACATTCGGTGACAAATGAGGGGATAGACACATTGAGTACCGGGAACGAGAAGGGCGCACGTGGGCGGGGGACGAGGAAAGCAAGCGTCGCCGCGACACAAGTCAAGAAGTCGCATTCCGTGTTGAGGCGCCCCAAAATGGTTGGCGTTGCACTGAGCGCACCTGTTCAAGTTCTGCCTGGGCTTTGGAGTTGGCCATTGCCAGAGCCGCGCCTAAATCACGTCGCATAAAATGAACTTCAAAGCTACGGACAGGCCCACACGAATGTGGTGGCGAGAAGACGAGAGGCGCAGTGCAATGTATAACGAACTGGTTTTTGCCTCGCGCTCTAAGCGCCGGCGCTTGCTCTCTAGCAGCTCTTGTAACGCGCGTGCGCGCGCACCGACAAATTTCGGGGGGCTGCCGGTTTTGCATATGGTGAGTATCTGTCAATCGCTTGCATTCACGTTGGCGACGCTAAAACCATGCTCCGGGTCGACGTACTCAACGTTTGTCGAGGTGGCACGCACATCTTGGACAAACCGCTTGACTGGGCTCGGTTCCTACAAGTCAGCACAGGGCAACGAGCCATGAGCACGGGGCGAAAAGCGACAAGCAAACGACCAAACCAAAAAAACGAAACTGCCCCTGCCAAGTGGCACACTGCCGATGGCACACCCATGAATGGCTCCTCGGGTCAAATGCCTCACCACGTAAGAGGCCTCGGGCTGCGGAGAAGGCGGTACGTCGGAAGCGTGGACGGCCATTATGGAGGGCTCTTCGGGTGAAGGCGGTGTCTACGCTTGCACAATTATTCATGCCATATCAATCGTTGGCAGTATTCAGTTGTTGGATGGGGCATCCCTGGCAAATTTGGAACAAACATGGGGTGGTAACACGAGCGCGTGGCGACTCCGTTCAAGCTCTTGAAGCCTTTGCTTGAGGAGGCGCAGTAGATTCGACGATGGCAACAGCTTCCAGACTTCGAACGTGCTGTCATGGCTGCCAGTCAAAAGGTTGAGTCCATCGGCTGAAAAGCCTGCGTCAATGGGCAAAAATTGTCGCGGTTGAGTCGCGAAGGCACAATAAACCCCGAGAACGCCGTGGCATTTCGCGAGAGCAGCGATCTCATGGAACGTACAAGTGGCAGTAACATAAGACGTGTGGGCCTGGAAGGAAAGGAGCAAACTGCGGGTGAGAGCATCGAAAAAGTCAATGTGCCCATCACCGGATCCAAGGCAGAGGATGCTCCCATCGTTGGAAAAGGAGCAAGTCCAAACCTGGGAGAGCATATGGTTGAATTGGTGAGACAGGTTCGAGGCAGCAGCACGGGCTTTCAAGGGCGGGTGTTGAACAATGGCTCAGAGGCAAAGGGGGCAGTCAAAGACTAGCGCATCCCGTCACTTTCATACTCAAAAGGAGGGTTTTCGGCACTCACAGGAGAGCGTGTGTTGGCTTCCAGAACGGCCAGTTGGGTGCCATCAAAGGTGTCCCAAAGAATTACGGTGCCATCATGCGATGCACTCGCGAGCATTTGGCCATCCGGGGAAAAGCGCACGGCCACAACAGGGGCCGAGTGCCCTTCAAGCACGCGCTCCGGCTCCTGTTGCCCCAAGGGAGAGAGCTCGCGGGCCACGGGCGCTGTGGGTGCCTCTGCCGGGGCTGCATTAAAATATGCCAACTTTTGTGCTTTTTTTCGTGCGCGTGCTTCCTCCAGACGTTTCTGGGGAGACCACAAGGGCATGCATGACATGACGGCAGATATAGAAGGGCCGTGTGGCTTCCAGACACCAAGAAAGCCGGGGATGGCATAGAGGACACACCTGACGATCGCGCTGACGAAAGTTGGCACCAATATCTGATTCCTCTCGCGCCAAAATGGCAGCGAGCTTGCGTTGGACACGCGAGTCTGGCCCCAGAGTCCAGAGCCGGATCGTCGTGTCAAAGCTAGACATGGCCATCGGTCAGTTGTTATTGTTCACAGGCCAGGCGAGTGGATGTGATGGAGATCCAAGCAAGGAGCAACTGTGTGGCATGCAACAACCCAACTCAAACCCACCTGCCCTCGGCCAGGACACCTTCGTTTGGTGCCAGATCGACGCAATAGCAGCCATGCACGGTGCCATGCTGAAGGTAGTCAAGAAGGTCACCGGTGCGAGCGTCCCACAGAGCCACGGATTCATCCAGAGAGGCAGAGAGCAGAATGTGGCCACTCGAACTGTAGCGCACTTGTCGAACGGCGTGCTAAAAATGCATTCAAACCATGAGAGACCAAAGACGAGGCAAAAGGCGGTGGCATCGAGCCCGATGATTTGAGTGTGGCAAACCTTGTGATGACGGCATTCGTGAATGAGGCGCTGTTGTTTGGCATCCCAAATAGAGACAATGCCGGCTGAGCCTCCGGTGGCGAGGCGCGAGCCACCAGGGCTGAATTCAACCGTCAGAACAGAGCCTTGCTGAACACGAAGCTGGGCCGTAATGGTCTGATCGATCAGGTCATAGATGGCCACGTGACCATCATGACAGGCCACGGCAGCCATGGAGCCGGCGGGGCTGGAAGCGACCGCCATGACGGGGGAATCCATTTCTACGGCCTGCATCAGTTCAGCCCCGTCGTCTTGCAAGCGCAGGTCTTGCGCACGGCTGATATCCATGCGAGGCTCCTCATCACTGGCGTTCAGATGAGAGCCTGCAGTAGCGGGCCGTCGCGGTGGGACCAAGCCACCGACTGAGTTGGTCGGGGGATTGTCAAGGACGCGCCTTGGGGTCGAGGTGGGGGCTGGGTGGTGGGGCCCAGTCGTCCTTGTGGTGAGTGGGGCGGTCGCGCGTGTGCTTGTGCTTGGTGGATTGGTTGTTCCCGGTAAGGGCGGGGGGCGCGACGTGGGCAAGGAGGGCCGCTGGGGAGCATGTGCACCGAGGCTTTGAGCCTGAGCATCGACATTGTCAGGGATTGCCGTAACGGGTGCTGCAGCATGGGGCAGAGCAGTGGTGAGCGAGTGGAGGCTGCTGCGGGAGGAGCGAAGGCTGGGGATGGCTGCCGGGGTGATGGTGGTGGAACGGGGCCGGGCCGGGCTCAAGGAGGGGCGATTGTGGGCATCGGCATGGAAGCTTGCGGGCCGGCTGCGCGAGCGAGAGAATGAATTGGTGCGCGTTCTTAGGCGCCGAATCTGTTCGGCGTGAGCGTGGGGCGAGGCCGCGATGCGGGTGGCGGAGTTTGATAAGTCAACATGGGACTTGGACAAGCGGCCGGCATCGAACAAGCTAGGTCGCGAGGCAGGGTATGCCAGGGAAGGGGCAGAGCAAAGGCACACGGAGGTGAGGTGGGGCGCGTGCAATGGGCAATGGGCAAAGGCCAATCTTCTGCATGTTGCCAACCCAGGACCCGGTGCGCGCGGGGAAGGCGGGGGATGGGAGGCGGGGCGCGACCTGTTTGAGCGTGTGCGAGGTGATGTTGACGTGGAGGCCAGCGGCGAACCAAAGCCACCGTGAGAGGCGCGTCCACGCGGAGTACCACTCATGTTGCACCTGGTGCGCACGGCTTGGCCTGCCGGGCTGGGAGCTCGCGAGCCGCTCGCCAAGGGCCCGGCCTGTCGAATGGATGAGAATGGGTGCACTTGCTGAGGACGTTGAACGGCGGCGCAACTGGCCGTTGGTTGGATTGAAGTGGGAAACCAGCAAACTGCCCACCATGCGTGCATGCAATGCATGGATGGCTAGGATTATATTTTATGGGGGTTAATTTATTCTGGAGATACGTCTGCTTGGAAGCCTACAACTCCTGGTTTTGCTTACAAGCCATTATTCTTCTTGGAACAGCAGCAACAAATACACGAAGGGGAACCGTGTCAGGGTTTCTCCCTTGTCCAGCTTGACCAAGTCAGCCAGCTGTGACCAAAACCACACTTTGAGACCAGTGACGGTGTTGTGGCTCAGGAGCTGCATCGCCTTTTTCCTTTTGTTCTTGGTCCGCAAAGGGTACGATGTTTGTGTCTCCGCCCCTCTAGTCTCTCAACCTCTCTAGCTCTCTCTCTCTCTCTCTCTCTGCTTCTCTCTCTCTCGTTCTCTCCCCCTATCTCTGCTCCCTCTCTCTCTGCTCTCTCTCTCTGCTCTCTCTCTCTGCTCTCTCTCTCTGCTCTCTCTCTGCTCTCTCTCTGCTCTCTCTCTCTGCTCTCTCTCTGCTCTCTCTCTGCTCTCTCTCTGCTCTCTCTCTGCTCTCTCTCTGCTCTCTCTCTGCTCTCTCTCTGCTCTCTCTCTCTGTGCTCTCTCTCTGTGCTCTCTCTGTGAGCTGTCGTTCGTGCTGATTTCGTGCGGCCACCCCGTCAGCCGCTGGAGTCTGGTCAGCTGCGTCTACCCCACCGTGTGTCGGACTTCCAACCACGATGTGAGAAGAAGGGTCAAGGGAGCCGCCACTGGGGAACAGAAAGAGGGAATGGGCGTAGCATTCGTGGCAGCTTTCTGCTCTGCGCGTGCTCGAGTGTGACACAAACAAGAACGCACTGATGTTGGCTCTGTCTGTCTGTCTGTCTATCTGCAATGCTCGCTCAACCGACCTCGGCATTTGACCCCCTTTGGTTCATAGATCTCCTGCATTCGTGTCACCTCTGCTCATTGATCTGAGGTGCCAGTGTCCCAGTCCCCCACCCACCCTCTTTCTCTTGCCGCCGCCGCCATGGCCCTCTTCGAACAGGCACGCTCCCCCCCCCCCCCCCCATCCCCTCATTCTACTATCCGGCTATCCGCTCCGTGTCGCACGACCATGTCGACTCTCGAGCTTTTTTGCAGCAACAGCATGCCATCCTGCGCCACCACCATCTGATGCATGGGCTCGCCCGATATTCTGCACAGGGGTCGCGCGTGTGGATCAAGACATCGGAGCGGTGGTGTCCTGCAACCGCCGCCAGCAACGATGGCACCAACACCGTCTTTGAAGGCGATGATGGCCAGGTACACGCCATTGCACCTTGACTATCCATATCATCCAGTCCTGGCATTGACACAAAGAGCAGTCCCAAACCACTCGACTGCCCGGTCTGTCTGGGCCTCACAACTCATGGCTGCACTGTCGTCGACATGACGTTTCGCAGTCATACACGGTCGGCAACGACCAGCTGGGCCCAGATACAGTGACGCACATGCATCAGACGAGCATTGAGGGTGTTGAAGACATGGCCAAGCTCGGCGATCTTCATGAAGGCTCACTGCTGTACAACATCAAGCTGCGCTACAAGAAGGACCTTATTTACACCTACATTGGCTCCATCCTCTCGGCCGTCAATCCGTACAAGAGCCTTCCGGGCCTTTATGACGATGCCAAGGTACAGTCAGCATATGATGAGGTGTTACCCAGTCTCTAAGACTACCCAGGCGCAGTCGTGGCGCATGCCTCACCAAGTGCCGCAAAATGTCTGATCTGTCTCGTCAGATCAACGAATACGATGGCAAGGACATTGGCGAATTGCCCCCACACATTTATGCCATCGCCAACCAAGCCTACCGCTCCATGTGGAAAAAGTATGACCCTTGCACCCCCGTGTTGACCCGCATGCAAGGCCTGCATTCACGCGTCTCACCAAAACGGTCTTGCGTGTGCTTACCTTACCTCTCGCTCTCGGCGCTTTTGCGTCTGCTTCTCTTGTGTTAGCTCGGCCAATCAGGCTGTTTTGATTTCTGGTGAATCGGGTGCTGGCAAGACAGAGTCCACCAAGTTCATCCTGCGGTACCTCTCCTACCAGAGTAATGACGTCAATAAGAAAAAGGGCAAGGAAGGTCGCAACTACGAGGAGCAGATTCTGCAGTCCAGCCCCATCCTCGAAGCTTTTGGCAACGCCAAGACCGTGTACAACAACAACTCGTCTCGGTATGTCTCGCCTTTTTGATTGGCCCAAGGCATCGCTTTTGTTGAAGACACTCTCATTTCCTGGCTTTCCAATGTGACAAACCTACTCTCAGCTTTGGCAAGTTTATCCAGCTCAACTTTGCGGCAACCGGTGCCATCGAGGGCTGCAAGATTGTGGATTATCTTCTCGAGAAGAATCGCGTACGTGTCATCTTAAGGCTTTTGTTCCTTGTTCTTGGAAAAAGCGCATCAGGGAAGACGGGATGACGGGACACTGCTCTTGACATCAGACTCGAGCCTTCCCTGCCCGAATTTTGAGTTTGCCTTCTGTCCCCTCATGTCTCATGTCTGATGTGTTTCCAGGTGGTGCGCCAGAACGGCGGCGAACGTAACTTCCACATCTTCTACGCCCTGCTCGCGGGTGGTCTCGGCAGCAAGTTTGGTCTGTCTGCTGACCCCAGCCAGTACCGCATCACCTCCATGAGTGGTACCTGGGATGTCGATGGCATTGATGACAAGGCGGATTGGCAGGCCGTGGAGCAAGCGTTCCGGACCATGAACTTCTCTGACGAACAGATGTCGGACATTATCACCGTCGTCGCAGCCATTTTGCACCTCTGCAACATGAAGTTCACCACGGCCGGTGGTGCCCAGGTGGCCACCCAGGCTGTCCTTGAGCAGGTCTGCCAACTGCTCGGCATCGAGGAGGCTGGCTTGGCCGAAGTTTTGACTCAGCAAAAGCGTGTCCTCCGTGGCGAAGAGATTTACACCCCACTTGACGTGGACCAAGCCGCTGACTCGCGAGACTCGCTGGCCATGAACCTCTATGCCCGCACCTTCCGCTGGATTATCAGCAAGATCAACGTGTCCTTGCGTGGTGACGAATCCTTCCAGTTTGTGGGTGTCCTCGACATTTTCGGTTTTGAGAACTTTGAGTTTAACAGCTTTGAGCAGTTCAACATCAACTACGCCAACGAGAAGCTGCAGCAATACTTCAACCGGTGTGTCTTGAGCTTCCAACGAGCGTCCTTTTCAAAGCCCAAACATGTCGCACCTGATGCGCGAGACTGGTGCCTAATATTAACTGTTTGTGCTTGTTGTTTTTAGACACATCTTCTCGCTCGAGCAGCTCGAGTACAACCAGGAAGGTATTGACTGGAGTGACATTGACTGGTACGCCAAATTCCCGCGGCCCCTTGCGCCTGGTCCTCACTGAGACGTTGATGGACACTTTGACTCATGATCGCCTCACACAACCCCAAGGGTTGACAACTCTGAGTGCCTGGATTTGATCGAGCGCAAGCTCGGCGTGCTGTCGCTGCTTGACGAAGAATCGCGTTTCCCACGTGGTACGGACGAGTCGCTGCTGATCAAGCTGCACTCGTCCCACGAGGAGGCGGCTCACTACGTGCGCCCTCGCGTGGCCAACACCAAGTTTGGCATTCGCCATTTTGCTGGCGAGGTCATGTATGACGTGACAGGGCTGCTTGAAAAGAACCGCGACACCTTCCGCGAGGTGCGTTTTACGGCCCCGTAGCGACTCAAAAGAGGACAGAGACGTGACTTTCTACCGATCTGAAATGTGGAATGGGCGTGAGCTGCGTGCTTTGGTTTCCGGCCTTGCATATCCTTCTCCAACTGACCGACTCTTGTGCTTCTCGGATACGGTGTGGGCTGTCTCAGGACGTTGCCGAGCTGCTTCAAAACTCGTCCAACGATTTCATCTTTGACCTTTTCGAGTCGAGCACCGGCGCGAGCCAGAACAAGTCGACTGCTCGCAAGAAACCCACTGTCAGCTTTCAGTTCAAGGAATCGCTGTCCTCGCTCATGGGTACTTTGGGCAAGGCCGAGCCCTTCTTTGTTCGCTGTCTCAAGCCCAACATGAAGAAGATTGCGGACCACTTTGAGGACGAGGTCGTCCTCAACCAGCTTTCCTACTCTGGTTTGGCCCGATGCATTTGCATTGTCTTGTCATCGTTCTTACCTTGGCGCTCTCCCTCACGCGCACACACACACACACACACACACACACACACACGCAAACACACGCATACACACATGCAAATGAGACCAACCTTCCTCTCACCCTCGCTGTTCTTCAGGTATGCTGGAGACCGTGCGCATTCGTCGGGCCGGCTACCCCGTGCGTCGCAGCTTCGACGACTTTCTCTTCCGGTACAGTGCGCGCACCCCGTTCGCGTTTCTCCTTGCTCTTTGTGCACAAAAGAACAAAAGGGGCACTATGAGCCTTTTTGTTTTCTTTTGTTCTTGTTTTTTTGTTTTTTGGTTCAAGGTGTCACATGAAACAAGCTTGCCCTTTTAAAGCAAATTATGCTGCAAAAAAGGGTGTTAAACAACTGCGGACATGATGCAACTCTTTTACGCATAGTTCATCTGAACGACTATCTGTTGAATAATCATCACCATCTTTCGACTGATCCGCACAACTCCTTTTACACTGGCCCTTCCCGCTACCATCCGTTATCTTCAAGCTGACAATTTTGTTTTCTGTTCGTTTTTGTTTTTGATTTTTGTTCTCTAGGTATCGCGTGCTGTTGCAAGGGCTGAGCAAGGCCGAGGGCGCACCCGAGCAGAGCCGAGTCCTTCTGGGCACCTACGATCAGAACAACTGGCAGATTGGTCATAGCAAGGTTTTCATGCGCGAGGGTCTCGAGAATCGTCTTGAGAAGGACCGTCATGCACGCCTCAAGGCAACCGTTCAGAAGATTCAAGCCTTCATTTTCGGCTCTATCCAACGCCGCCGCTACATCAAGATGCGCAAGGCCGCCGTCCGTGCGCAGAGCGTCATTCGTATGTACCTCATTCGCGCGGAGCACCTTCGTCGTGTCAAGGCGGCGACTAAGATCCAGTCAGTTTATCGTGGCTACAAGGCACGCGAGCTTCGTGCTCAACTTGCCGAGGCAAAGCGCATCGAGGAGGAGCGCCGTCGCGAGGAGGAGCGCCGCCGCGAGGTGAGTGAGAGAGCCACGCAATCCAGATCTGCACATAGATCGGTGCCCTTATGCCGCCCCAATAACCCTCGACCTATGGTCACGGAGGCCGTGTTTCGTCTCAGTCTTGTTTTGTTTCATCGGCTCACATCTGGTCTGCTGTTGAATGCTAATCAGGAGGAGCGCCGTGCTGAATTGAAGCGCCTCGAAGAAGAGGCCCTGGCTGCGGCTGCTCAAGAGGCCGCGGAGCGGGAAGAGGCTGAACGTCGTTTGGCCGAGGCCAAGCGTCGTGCCGAAGAAGACCGTCAGCGCAAAGTCGACGAGGAGCGTCAACGCCAGGAGGATGAAGCACGACGCATGCAAGAGGCCATGGCTCGGGCCAAGCAGCTCGAAGCTGAGCAGAAGCAGCGCGAGGAGGATGCCCGCCTGAAGGCCGAGGAGGCTCAACGCCTGCTCGAGGAAGCCGAGCGCATGAAAAAGGTGCGTCTATTTTTGTCTCTGTGTGCTGCGTTATGCCCGTTCGTCGCGGCAGCCATCGTGCATGCGCCTTCGGTTGAGCGTACAATGGCTCGCGGAAAGCTTGCTCCGCCCTCTGACGCATGCCATGTGCTTTTCAAAGATTCAAGAGGAGGCCCGTAAGGCCGACGAAGCCCGCTTGGCCGAAGAAGAGCGCCAACGCCTCGAGGCGGCAGCGGCCGACGAGGCAGCGCGCCGCGAAGCTCAGTTTGAGGAGCAAGAGGAGGAGGAATACGAGGAGGAGGAATACAAGGAAGGCTATCTTGGCATTTTCCGTGGCATGCTCAAGAACCTCAAGCGTCGCTGGTGCGTGCTGCACGAGGGAACTTTCATGTGGTTCAAGGCTCGCCAGGACTTTATCCACGCTGGCTGGTTGACCAAGATTGGCGGCGGCACCTCAACGCTGGGCCGCAAGTCCTGGAAGCGCCGCTGGATGGCACTCAAGGGAGGTGAACTCCATTACATGCCCTCTCAGGAGGAACAGGCCACTGTCCTGGGCGTCGTCGATATTCAAAAGGCTGAAGCCATCACTGTAGAGGCCGATGCCCCCGGCAAGCGCGAGTTCTGCTTTGCGATTGAAACCTCCAAGCGCACTTACCTCATGGCCGCTGATAGCGAGCAAGAGATGCAAGAGTGGATCGAGATTCTCAACATGGTCAAGGGCAAGTCAGACGAGGAGATCAACGCCATGATGGCTCAGGCCCTGGTCAACCCTCGCCATGCTGAGGGGACCGTTGAGACAGAGGATATCCTCTCTGTAGGCCCCACCAACACCCAGGACGTGGAAGGCCACCCGTCTTTTGTCATCATGACCGCTGAGCGCGTTCTCAAGTTTGTCGCCAAGGATCAGACTGAACTTGATGACTGGTGCCGCCTGCTGACCCCGCGCCGCCGCGAGAACCTGTCCCCAGACATCAACGATGCCTCAGTCACAGAGCGCGGCTGGATGCTCAAGGCCGGTGGCAAGGGCAATGCGTTTAAGCGCCGCCGCTGGTTCGTCTTGCGTGGTGACACCATCAGCTACTACAAGAACAAGGTACGACATCTCCGCACGCCGGCGCCCCAATCTTTTCTTTCTTCCGCTTTTTATAGCCACGTAGCCTGCTTGCCAGCCGATGGTGTATCTGCACGTCTGCGCCATGCGTACCCGCTTCTCGTTGGTGATCTGTGGTCTCACGCCTCCTGTTCGCCGTGTGCCTTGGCCTAGGATGATGATTACACGGTGGGCACCATCCCTCTGAACTCACTTTGCTCGGTCATCCCGCCGGATGAGTCGCTGGCACTGCAGCGCAACGACTGGACCTTTATCGTCCACAGCAAGCACAAATCGTTCTTCCTCACCTGCAAAACGCAGGCCGATTGCAATCGCTGGATCAACGCAATCCAGGACGTGATCGACAACTCGGCACAGATCGAGACGCCCATGGAGAAGCTCATTGACGAGCTCAAGATGGCTTCGCCCCTTGAGGTGGAGCAGATCTACAGCAGCCACCGCGTGCTCACCTACACATCGTCGGCTCTGAAGTCGCCGCTGCTGCCCCTGCCCTATGGCGAGATTGTTGTGCCCAACGCTGATCGCCAGTACGAAACCCTGGCTGCCGAGGCCGTCAAGATCAGTGCCTCGCTCCTGCCCTCGTTTGAGGCTGGTAAGAGCAAGTACGGTACAACGGAGAACCCAGTCGATCTCATTAAGAACGTTGTACAGGCCGTCTTTGATGTCAACAAGCTCCGCAACGAGGTGTATTGCCAAGTCATTTGCCAGACGACCAATGCACCCAACCCCGGCTCGACGCTGAACATGACGCACTGGCATCTCTTGGCGGCACTGTGCTGCTCAACTCTGCCCAGCCGCAAGTTTATTCGCTTCCTCAAGTTCCACCTCAAGCGTACCATGGACATGCGCGAGGAAGTGGGCGAGGACGTTGCCAACGTGGCCCAGTTTTGCCTTGACAGTATCAAGCAAACCAAGTCGCGCGACTTCCCGCCCTCCACCAAGGAGATTGAGGCCATCATGTCGGGCCAGGGCTTGACCGTGAGCGTCGGATGCGTAGGCTCACGAACGATCGATTTGCCTGTCAACAGCAGTACGACTTGCGGCAGCATCATCAAGCGCGTCAAGGCCGAGCTGCAGCTCGAAGAGAGCCGCAACGGTTTTGGTCTTTTCGAGACATGTGGCTCCATCTCCAAGTTCTTGGAGGACAAGTACTACGTCTCTGATGTGCTCAGCAAGTGGGAAAAGTACGAGGCGCACGGTCTCAATCCGGCCGAGGGAGGCTGGAAGCTCGAGTTTAAGCTTTTTGCCTTTTACGACCCCATGGCCCCGGATCTCTCGAAAACGGAGAAGGAGTTTTTGTTTGAGCAAGCCTACGAGGCTGTGATGAACCGCCGCTACCCGGCCAACGAGGACACGCTGATTCAGCTTGCAGCGCTGCGCACCCAATTCGTGGTTGGTGACTACGAAGACGGGGCTTACATTTCGGATTTGGTCAAGGTCCATCCTGCCCAACAGCCACAGCTCCTTGCCTCGGATTCTAGCAGCGGTGGAACGCTGAAGCGTGCGGGTACCATCATCAAGGGTACGCTCAAGGGCTTGGGCATGAACACGCTCCGCAAACTTCGCGGCGGCACCATCAAGAAGACGGGCGAGGTCTCGGACGCAGAGATGAAGAAGATCAAGGACAAGATTGTGGGCAAATGGAAGACCATGCAGGTGTGTTTGCGACATAGGGCTGCAAGAATCGACATGCGTTCAGACTCAGTTCGTGTGGCAGCAATCAGAGGATGGGGTTTCATTTCTTATTTTATTTTTTTATCTCAACTTGTTTGATTTGTGTTTCCTAGGGTATGAACAATGACGAGGCGCGTGAGGCCTACATGTCCATCATCCAAAGCTGGGAAGGCTACGGCAGCAACCTCTTTGAGGTGACTCAAACCGGCAAGAAGGATTGGCCCAAGGAGATCTGGCTCGGCATCAGCTTGGAAGGCGTCAGCATTTTCCCCGTCAATGAGTACGTGTTGTTTCCGCTGATGACTCCTCCGATTGTTAGGCGCACAGCACTGATGACCACCACTCTTGACTTGCTGTGCACAGGCGGGAGCGGCTTGCCTTCCATCGCTACGAGAGTGTGCTCAGCTTCGGAGCCCCCGTACCCAACAAGTACAAAATTTTGGTTGAGGGCGATGGATCCATGGTCTTTGAAACCAACATGGTGCTTGAGATTGCCAAGCTGATGAAATCATACATCAAGGAGGTGGTGAGCCGAAGGCAGTAGAGCCCCTCGGCCGGTAGTGGGCGGTAAACTGTCAGTATTGCGGCTAGTTGGGCTGGTCTCACTGGCTCGGCGTTGAGAATTGCTCGACCGTATTTAGCCACTCGTCCCGAGTGCTCAAATCGGGCAAACATCTCTTACCTACTTTGAGTTGGGCCCTTTGCTCTTCTTTTTCGTCTTCTTTTCTCTTTCTTTTTCTCTGCTGGTTCGTTCTCGTGTGTGTACCTACCGTGCTCCTGATACCTCATGTAAATTTTCTATCTCTCGTCGTGTCATTTTGGGCGATCAAGACTGTGCTTTGGTCGCTTTGCAAATTGATGACGTGTAGCTCAAGTGGTGGTCGAGCATCAGATAAGCAGCCCGCTTATTCATCAGATGAACAGGTGGTTTCGAAACTTAATTTGTCGGTTTACTCAGTAGTTGTGGAGATTGCCGAAGAAGCTTGTCAAACAGGCCAGCCCGGCGGCAGGACACGGATCAAGCATTGACTTGAAACGGCCTTTATTGGCGCTTCTTGCCGCCACGTCCCCGCTGGGGTGGGGGCATGGAAGCAGGCATGGGCGGTGGTGCAGCGCTGTTGTCGGGTAGGAGAAACTTGAACGCGAGAAAGCCCAAAACGACCAGCCAAACGAGGTTGACTAGCGCCGTGACTGGACACAGTGCCAAGGCAAAGACCGCGACAAGAAGAAGATCGAAGGCGTATTCTGCAATGCCTCCCTTGATGCTCAAGTCAGCGCCAGAAGTGCCGGTTGAGTGCATCTGTGGGAAAAAAAAAAAAAAAAAAAAACGCAAACGCAAACGTGAGCCATTGTGACATGGAAGTGGGCTAGATAGTAGCTTTTCCTTCTACAGCGCCAACATACCAGGGCCATGGTTGCAATCAGAACCAAGCCATTGCAGATGGCAGACACCTAAACCCGACAGCGAAGCAAATCAGGGCGGCATCAACAAGCATTTTCAACAAACAAGGACTACAGCGCGATCTCGAGGGGCAAGCCGTCACGACAGCGCTGGACAAACACTCATAAAGGAGGTGCCCATGAGGAACGTGAGCAACGTGAACAGAGCCTGCGCGAGTAAGTCCACCACAGAAGAGCGTGAGTGGGCTTCAATGACACTGACAACGCGTCGTTGCTGATCACTGAGCGATTCTGCCGACGCCCCCCGCCCTCCATCCTTCGCTCTTGTGTATCTAGCTCGGCGTTTGTTTGTTTGTTGCAGTCCGCCACTAACACCCCGCAAGCCCGTTGAATCCGCGTACCAGTCCACAGCCCGCTGCGATACGTGCGCTCTGTAGAATGCCCGCATTGCGAGCCACCAGCTTCTTCTGAGCCCCGCCAGCCATGTTGGAGTCGTGTGTGCGCGCTGTGCGCTGCTCTGCTTCACAATTGATTTCCTTACTCTCTAATTTCAACTTTTCTCTCTCATGTGGTAGTTGTGCGTTTCCTTTGTGTCTTTGCTCTTTATTTCTCTCTTTCTCAAACCGACCAAACCAATTCATCTCTCTCTCTCTCTCTCTCTCTCTCTCTCTCTCTCTCTCTCTCTCTCACACACACACACACACACACACACACACCATAAGAACCAAACAGTCAATTTAGCTCGACTCACGAGCCCGCATGGAATATCGATGCCGACAGTTGGTATGGGAGAATCGTTTTTGGTAGACTGGCATTCAAGATGTAGGGCATAGCTGTACAACCAGTCTGGCTCAGGCTAAAAGGTGGCGACTCTCCAACAGCCGTCGGCTCAAGTGCGGGAGAGCCGGTTCAAGCGTGTCTGCCACATGCAAGTCTTTTGTGAGTTCAACGCGAGTGCTGGGACACCTTGCTCACTACCACCTCCCTGACTGAGGCGCTGGTGCGTAGGTCGCATCGAATCTGGCCCATTTCACCCAACGTTGGCGTACCGGAGAGCGTGGTCAAGAGGTGCGCCGCATGCTCCTGCTCGTGGCGCAGCCGCTCAGCGGTGCCAAACACGAGCACAGCCTGCTGCAACCTGTTGCAAAGGCACTCGTGAAGCCCAGGTATCTGATCTACAAGGAGGAAGCTTGGCCCACACTGCCGGACAACTAGATGCCAAGCTGGTTTTGTGGCACGTACCGTGCTTCGCCTGTGCGAAGGTCGCGATGCCCAGCAAGTGCCTGCTCCTCCAATGCCAAGGAGCGAAGGTCGCCCAACATCTCTTCCCGCACCTGCATTTGTTCTTCTTGTAACTAAGCCCAACACGTGTGTGTAGTGTGTGTAGTGTGTGTAGTGTGTGTAGTGTGTGTAGTGTGAGGCGAACGCAGAATAGCACCAGATTGGGAGGATGAGCAGGATGGGCCCTCATGACCAACCGACCTTTTCATACTCCTCTGTTTTCGGACCATTGCGCTGGAGGTTCGAGGCGATTTCGGTCTTGAGGCGAATGAGATGTGCATGCTCATCCAACATGTGCTGTTCAAACTCTGCCTTTTCATTGGCCAAAACCCGAACCAGCGCCTCACTCTGCTTGTTATACGTCGCTGTCGACGCCATTGTATGATCCACCTACCGATACAAATGAGCAAGCCCCAAGGAAAAAAAAACATAACATAACATAACATAACATAACATAACATGACATGACATGACATGACATGACATGACATGACATGACATGACATGACATGACATGATATAACAGAACAAAACAGAACATAAAAAAAACGCATGGCGAAGGCGCATTTAATGCGGGCAGATTTAATGCGGGCAGGCGGCTTTCGTGCGTGGTTGTAGTCTCCTGCATTGACAGGTCGGACCTTCTCAGTGAGCGTCGCAATCCGATCGTCCAAGGTCTCTGCCTCTGCTGCAGTGGCAGCCTGTTTAGCTTTCAGGTCTTCCGTGACGAGTGCTGCGTTGACCAGCTGTGTAACGACAAAAGGATGAGTCCAAGGTTTTTCTTGCTGCGCGGGCATGCTGCATTGACCAGCACGCTTGCATGAACCCCTTCAATCTGTGCATCGTGCCAAATTTGGGCCCACCTTGTCGTTGAGATCGCGACGCTCCACGGGAATGGCTTCGAGGACGGCCCGCACGGTATCGACTTCGCTCTGAACTTGTTGTAGCTCGGTGGCCAACTCCGCCTAAAGCCATCAGAATAAAAGTTAACGTGATGCCGACGCGGATCTGATGTCTCCCATCGCAAGTCAAACATGCCTCTTTGGCAGTGGCCTTTGCAGAACGTTCTGCCAAATCACGCTGGACTTCGGCCAGCTGTGCCTCCAGATCCGCTTCTTCTGCCGCGATGCTGTCGTCTTCGGCTTGCAACTGCCCAGATCACAACAGGGGCAGCAGAAGTCAGACCTCAGTGGAATTTGATGCAAGCGCAAGGCACGATCCAACACAAGAGGAAGCAAAATCGCACTTCATCCACCACACGCTGTTGCTGCTCGCAGACTCCTTTGGCCTCCTCGATCTGCGTCATCAGGGATCCCAATTTTTCTGCAGAGAGGCCAGAAGACCGTTTTTAAGGCAAGAGTTCGGGCAATACTCGCGCAAATTCAGGATCAAGCCTTGAGAGTGTGAAGACCCGAACCTTCGCGCTCCTGTTCAAGGCGTTGATGGATCAATTTGGCCTCGCCCAAAGCCTCCCGATTGAGCTCGAGGTTCTCATTCGTTTGCTGAATGTTGGTCTGAAGGGTAGCCAGGGTGTCTTGAGCCGATAAGATTTGTTGCCGTCGATCTTGGCGCGCCTGGACACAACAGGTATTGATGGAAAAGCAAATAACGAAAGCAAATGGGCCGGGTTGATGAGCATGTGCACAAAAGAGCCCAGATGCAAGCCTCCATGAGTCGAAGGGAAGGTCGCTGCGTCACCTGGTGCACGTTGTCTGATACAAGCCGCACTTGGCGTTGATTCTGAAAGCATGCACCCAAGCATGGGAGTGAGGCGTTTATTGACTTGGGGTGAAGCACATACACGCCGCGGCTGGCTGGGGTGATTTTCGGGTGCATTTGGCCCTCTTGCCAGAGCAATCCCAGACAAATCTCGCGATACCTGTTCAAAGTTTGCAAGCGCATCATTGTATTGCTTGGCAATACGCTCCATTTCTCTTTGTCTTGATTCCTTTTCTCTTTCCGAGGCCAGAACAGCCTGCTCTGCGTCATGTTGGCGCCTTTCCAATGCATCCAACGATGCCTGACAAAATAACACAAGACACAGTGATAAGCTCGATCCTGCGTGCCTCAGCTAAGCACACAAGTCTTTCTGCCAAGCCGAAAAAGCGCGTTATCGCGAAAAACCTTGGCATTAAGGCGTTCTGCCTCGCTGGCATGCATCCGCTCCAGAAGCGCCAGGCGTTGTGCATCTTCGGCTTCAATGGCCGCCTAAACCCAGTGCCGGGGGTGCCATGAGATCTGCCAGGACAGGGCAAATGCGAGGCGTCGGGCATCTATTTCCAGACCTGTTGCGCTTCGCGTAGCTCGTTATACTCGCTAAGTTGCATTTCCAGCCTGCCGACATGGACATGGTTGTGAGCCTTTTGCTTTTGATAGTGAGTCCGTTGGTCGTTGAGAAACAGCGAATATGACTGCTGATTTCAAGAGCGCACCCTTGTCGCAGTTTCTGGGTCTCCTGTTGTACGCGGGCAAGATGCCGCTCCAATCTGCATGAGGGATGAGGCGGGACATATGGCAGAAGGCGTGTCAAAGGTCAATCTGAAATTCACCCGCACATGCAAACGGAGGCCGCCTGCGCTCGTGCTACTGACTCTGCCACTTCGAGCCGGGCTTTGTCCCGAGCCTCGCGGCTGCGCTCAACCTCGCCCTCCAACATGGTACGCCGTTTAAGAGCCAGGTCAATTTTGCCTTGCAGCTCCCCGCTAAGATCACGGGGGGGTTCAACGCCTTGCTCGTTGTGCAGGGCCTGTTCGGCCTGTTGCAGAAGCCCCACGGCGTTGTGGTGACGCTCCACCTATAGTATTTGGCGACACGGTTGCCAATGCAAATTTGAAATCATGGGAAGAAGGGAACAAGGTACAGGCGCGCGCGCGCGCGTGTGTGTGTGTGTGTGTGTGTGTGTGTCAAAAGGCCAGAGGCGCATGGGTCTGCATCTTGAGTATTCACGACGGTTCCGACATGCGTACATATTCGCGCTGGGTGTCGTTGGCAAGTTGTGTGAGTTGTTCAAACGCCTCGTGGGCCCTGTCGCGTTTTTCGTGGGCCTTGTCGCGGGCCGCCTCGTCGGCAGCACGAATTTGGGCCTCGTGGTCACGGCACTCGAGCTCAACGGCCAGGCGATCGTGGATGCCTTGAAATAGATGCTCCACCTGGGCGCGAAGCCGTTGTTCTGCACTGAGGTCATCGCGGGCATGTTGAAGCCGTGACTCGCTCTGATTGACTTGGGCTTTGAGTCGGCTAGCTTCCTGGAGTTCAGTCAGAAGTCAACATGAGACTGCTGCGTCCACCACCGCCATGGGGAGTCACGATACTGGAGCAGCGAGATCCCACGGCTGGAGCGGCACAGAGAAGAGGCTTGCGAAGCATCACCACGGGCAGCCCAATAATGGCCATCCAACTGGACAAGAGGTCCAAAAACTAACCTCACGAAGTTGGCGGCAATTGCGGTCTAGGATAATGCGCTCGTTGCGTGCGGCTGCCGCAATCTCCCGCTCGCGATAGGCCAGGTAGTGTACCAAACGCTGGCCAATGGCATCACGTTCATGGGTCCAGTGATCCCATCTAGCAATATGCATGGGCCATGCATTAGCGCGGGGACATGGCTCACATTGGAAAACCAAGCAGAGTCGCCACGCACTTTGCCTGGTATCGGGACAGCTCGCTGAGACAGCCTTGCAGTAGCTGGCTTGTCTCTGCCAGGCGTTGGCTCAATGTGACGTCTTGAAACCGAGGTGCTTGACGCTATAGCATGTCATGGGTGGGGTGGCGGGAGGGTGGCAGCTTGGTGAACTTGGCTGTGGGTAGCCATGCACGCGGCAAACCAAGACGAGGAGAGGAGGAGAAGGAGGAGCGTGGGGAGGGACGCACCTGATCCAGGTCAATACTCTCCTTGCCATAGACGGCTATGGTCAGAGCAGATCGAGCTGTGCTTTGCATCCGATCAAAATCCTCGACCCGGATCTTATACATGTCGTGTGCTTTGCTTCCCATGGCGTCCGTTGGTCGGTTGGTCGGTGGTGCTGCTGCTACGGGGCCCTTGGGCTCACACTTGAGATGACAAGCGATGATGACCGCACCAGAAGAATATCATGACCCGTGCGTAAATGTCTTGGTCATGCTGCCAACTGCGCCAGATCCCAGTCCAATTCGCTCTGCCTCTCCCCGTGCACTCCACCGCCAGCCAGCTATTGGCCAGCCCCACACCATTCGGCCCGCTCCCGCTCCCGTTGCCCTGCTCCTCGTCGCCAAGTAGATGCGACGCGACTTGAAACCCCCCCCCCCTCTCTCTCTCTCTCTCTCTCTCTCTGTCCGTCTGACAATACTATCTGACAATTTGACTGGTTTCCAAGTTGACAACAGCTGTTGTCAGCTTCGGCTCGTCAAGGCTGCTACCAA